TGCTTTATGAGATTTATAGACAGTTTAGACAGGCTAGAGTAGACACAATATTATCGATTCTTCTGTTTTATAATTTTCCCCTTAATTTTATTGCAAATTATATTTTAGTTTTGTTTGCAATTTATCTGCTGCAAAATAAATATAACCCTTTCATTTTTATTTCTCGAGGTTCAGAGTTCTTAAAATCTCGAGTTCTAGTTTAGTGGGTCTGAATGATTATCAAATTCTAAGTTTTTTTCATCAATCTTATGATATATGGAAGTATAGATCAACACTTTTAGCCAGTGATACCTTAATATTAAATGCTTTTGCCAATTTTAACGGAAAAAGATGGATTCTTTTTTCCAGGATGTCATGGATTTTTTTCAATGCTCATGTGAATATGTATTAATAATAGCGATAATGTCAAGATAATATAATGGAATGATTTCCTTTGGCAATCGAGCATTCAATTTAGGGTATCACAAAGATCCAGTGAATCAAAAGCAAATGGAATATGTATAAGAGCAATTAACATCTTTGCCACGAAACTTTTGTTTCATTTAAATACTAACTTTACAGCACCTTATATCAAATCTACTCGATAAAATTCAAGCTAGGTTATCGTTCACTAACGAATTGCTTTCATTATTTTTTTAATAATAACAAAATATTTGGTAAAATAAAACGGGCAAAATTAAATTATCATTAGGTATTCGCCCTGCTCTAATTAATCCCGAACAAGACGATCAACAGTTCAAGTGCCCAACTTGTCAATCTCATTTGGTACCTGATGAGTTAGTACCAAACAAGGCAGCGCGGGAGGCAGTCGATGGTCATCTAAGAGATTGGGCTAGACGTAGGAACGAACCCACTGTTCCGGAAGTTAATGAGGATGATGAAGGAAATAATTTGGAAATGTTAGAAGATCCGCTGGTAGCAAATAATAACGTAGACCTATCTGTGGAAAAAGATACTACAGATTCATTAAATGAACTTGTAAAAACAGAAGAAAAGGAAAAAAGCACGAGTGGTTTATCAGAAACGGGACTTGATAATGTAGAAAATTCTAGTCAATCTCCTCAAATGTCAAAAGCAAAGGCCGAGTTGGTATGTTTATAAATTTAATTATCCCTATGTTGAACGATAAAGCCTTAAATGTAAAACATGTTTCTGCCTTTTCAGAATGCTAAAACGGAGCTACCAAAGAAACCAACACATGATCTTCCGCCTATCCCACAATCGCAAATACCAACACATCAATCTCAGTCACACTCATCACAACAATCGCAACATTTTCAACAGTCACAAATGCAGCGACATCAATATTCAAATAATGTTGCAGGGAAATCTTTTGGGCAAAATCCTATAGCATCACAACAACAAGGGTATGGACCATTTGGTTATTATAATGATTATGGATTTGGTTATGATCAAAATCAAGGATATTGGTATGATGAAGGTAAGAAATAGAATCAAGTGTTAGTTAAAGGACCGTTTTGCTAAATTTTTATCAAATATAAATGTAATTAGTTTATCCTCAAATGGGTATGAATATGATGAATGGGCCAGGTTACTACGACCCATCATACTTCGATTCAGGGTTTTATCCCGCAGAACCATTCCCTTCACAACCACAATTTATGCCACATTTTAGACCACCGGTATACGACGAATTTTGGGACGGTAGACCAATGATGCCACCACAAGGCAATTTTGTACCGTTTGCAGGAAATATGGGTGGAATGGGAGGTAGTGCAGGAATGCAACCATTTAGAGGAGGCAACTTTCGTGGAGGGTTTCCACGTGGAAATTTTCCAAATCGCGCTCGTGGCCGCGGAAGAGGTTCTAGTCCCGGATTTTTCAGTGATCGCTCATCATTTGCTAGCGGACGTGGTATGGGTGATTTCAGACGAGAATCTAGTGTTCCACCCTCTATTGGAAGACGAGATATGTAAGTAAAATGAGCGAGTAAATCGTAATCATTCGTAAAATTAAAGATTATATATTATTTTATATCTGGAAGGTCTGATTATCGCGATGAAGAAGATGAACGACTTGTAGATGATTTTGGACGCGATTTGGCACGACGTAAATCATCTGCATCGCGTATTTCCGCCGAAAGAGATATTGAAGCTCAGGATAAAAGATCTCCTTCTCATACTTCTGATCGTGACAGGCGCGACAGGGACGTGATATTAGATGATGAAATAGAAAATAGAAGACTTAGAGATAAAGATCCAACCCGCAGCAGAAGTAAAGAAAGGTCACGTAGGAGTCGAAGTCGAAGTAGATCTCATCATCAATCATCACGGAGACATCGTGATGATTCGCGACAAAGCAGATCTCCTTCAAGACAAGAACGTTCATCTCCTGATGCTCGACGAAAAACATCGATATCTTCAAGGCGTCGCAGTCGTAGCCGGGAAGCATTTGTTGACAGAAAAGAAGATCGCCGATATTCTGCCGACCGCCGATATTATGATGACCGTCGGTATTCCATGCCTGAAAAAAGGGAAGATAGGCGTGATTCCAATTTATCCGAACGAAGAGAAAGTAGACGAGATTCTAATTTGTCTGAGAGGAGAAGTGACAGGCGAAGCTCCGTTATATCAGAAAGGAGAGATGATAGACGTGAATCAACAAATGAGAGACGAGATGATCGTCGTGAATCGTACAGTTCGCGCTATGAAAAATCTGGATCTATTAACGAAAGGAGAGATCCTAAACACGATTCAATGGATGGCCGAAAAGAAGAAAATCGTAATAACTCTTTGTCTAATGAACGATTTGATTACGAAGACCCTAAAACTCGGTCTCGAACGAGATCACCAGTTGATAGATCAATAAATCATGAGAATGGCAAATCAGAATATCATAACTCCAATCACAATATTGACACAGATATGCCAAATGACAGGGTCAGTCTTCCAGCATCTGCTGAACAACTCTCAGAAGATATTGAGCGCCGAACGCGGTCGCGTTCTCCAAAGCCAATATTAGCACCTGAAGAATCAGTGCCTGATGACGTAATATATGATGATGATAACGTTATCGATGTATCCACAAATGATGATGACACTCTACTACTAGATGATGATAGAATGTCTGTAAATGATGATAGACCTACTACACCTCCTTCTCCTGAAAAATATCCTTCATCGCCTGAAAAACGACGCCATTCATCAACTCACAAACATCGGAGTAAATATCATCGTTCACATCATCGACATGAGTCTCCGGAAAAAGATGATCACGACAAAAGGGGATCTCGATCTAAACATTTGAGTACTTCTTCCAAAGATGATTATCGCAGTAGTACTCACAAACACAAAAAGCGTCATATATCCTACCATCAAAGTCGACACAGCCATAGTAACAGAACTAAAGATAGCGAAAACAGACGTAGACATAGAGAAAGCTCGGAAACACACAGATATCGCAGCAGGTCAAGATAGCATTTGTAGTCGATCAAAAATTTATAAGCTTGACTGAGTCGATTTTGATATGGCTAAGCCGGCTTAGTCGGCTATTATTTGCTAACAATATTTCAAAATTTTGAATTACAGTGAGACAATCTAGTTCGCACTAATAAAACTTGATTAAATTCAAGCTGCTAATTCTTATTCAAAAAAAAAAAAAACAATAAACACAATAAACACAAAATTTTTCAAAAAATGTTAAATATCAGATTGAACTGTTTGTAAACCTATTTTTAACAAAGCAATAGTGAATCAAAATTAAACTTTGTAATTGAATAAACGATTTGACTACTTTAAATATTACAGTATATTAAACAATATTATATATTATATATATATATTTTTAATATATATATGTAGATTAGATGTTATTAAAAAAAAAAATACTAAAAAATTTTTTTATAATTAAAATAAGTGATTTCAGGATTTAATTTATAGTGCTATAGCATTATGGTGCTAGGGTGTTGTGACTATAGATGCTGGTGAAATTAAATAATGCTGGTGAAACTGGTGACTATCTAAAATCTAATTGGCTATTATATTAAATTTTACTAGTTTTATCAGTTTTACTATCATTCATCAAGAGTTTTATCAGTTTCACCAGCATCTATAGTTGTGACCAATTAAAATTTAAGATCAGGTATAACATGCAGATCACCTTTTTGTGTAACAAAAATAATGAATTTTTAAAAAATTATTTATATTTCAAAATTTTGATTAAAAAATTATCTTGTGTTCTAATAAAAAAAATTTCTTGCAAAATTTTAGTTTAAACTATATTTTGTCTAACCTTAACTTCAACTTTAATCTAAATCTAATTAAAAATTTTATTTTTTGTAAAGATTAGATTGTTTTGATTTATATATTATATTAATTTTATATTTACATATAGGGTAGCACTATATGCTATAGTATTATAATAATATTTCTTTAAAATAATATTAAAATTATTTTAAAAACAAACTATATAGTGTTTTTATCAAATCAAATTTTATTAAAATTATATTTAATTTGAGTTTAATAATAATATTATAGATTATAACTAATTTTCACCCTAGGTGATATCACCTGGTATTATAAATTTTTTATTACAAGTAAAATAAATTTAA